GTGTTGTGAAGTGTTTTGAAAAGTCATCTTTATTCTTCAGTGCAGCATAGTATTCCATTGTATATACGCACCAAAGTTTAACTATTCTTCTGTTGATAAGCATTTAGGTTATCTCCATCTTTTTGATATATCTCTTGTAGAAAGCATATTGAAGGATCCTATTTTGTTATCCATTTTGCTCTTTATGTCTCTTGTCTGAAACATTAAATAATCCATTTACATTCAGTATAATTATCAATAGGTATAAAATGATTGCTGTTATTTTTCTGTGGTGTTGCTGGATTCCTTGTTCCACACAATTTTCTATGCTGAGCTCATTTTGTTTGTGGGTTTTCTTTTCATTTTCATATCTGTTGTGTTAATGTTTACTAAATCTTTCTGATTTTCCTCTTATTTTGATGTGTTGGTGTACTAATTTTCATTTAGGTTGCCCTGTAATTTATTTTTTCTCCATTTAAAACAGTTTTCAAGTTTTATCTTGAAGCCTAATTGACTTTCTTGCCATTTGGAAGTTTTATTTCTACAATATTCCCTATTCTTGCTATGTAGTTGACTTCATTATGTATTGATCTCTCTGGTGTAGCGCTGTGGGTTAATGCGCCAGATTGCAAAGCCATTTGAACTGTATGGTCGTGGTTTAAGCTCACCAGCTGCTCCTCGGAAACCCTACACAGGGTCGCTATGGGTCGGGATTGACTTGACAACACTTAACAACAACAACATCTGGATTGATGTCCAGGTGGTGTTGTCATGCATGATAATCTCAGGTTGTTGTCTGCTTTTGTTATTCTCAGTCCAAAGAACACCTATTAACATTTTATGCAAAGTTGGTCTGTTGTTAAATACAGTCAAGTCAGTTCCAATTGATAGCAACCCTGTATAAGGTTTCCAAGGAGCAGCTGGTGAGTTTGAACTGCTGACCTTGTGATGAAAGTTAGTACAGTTTTTACAAATGTCTTTCATTTCTGTTTATAAGGAAATATTCTCATTTTGCCATCATATTTAAAGGACAGCTTGCTAGGTACATGATTCTTGGTTGGCAATCTTTTTCTTTCAGTGTTTTGTATATGTCATCCCATTTCCAACTTGCCTGCATGGTTTCTGCTGAGAAATCAAAGCTTTGCCTTATTGGTTCTCCTTTGTAATTAACTTTTCATTTTTCTTGCGCTGTTCTCAGGATCCTTTCCTTGTCTTTAATTTTAGCAAGCTTGATTATAATATGTCTTGGTGACTTTCTCTAGGGGTCTATCCTGTTGGGAATTTACTCAGCTTCTTGTATGTTTATCTTCTCATTTTTCATGGTATTAGGGAAGTCTTCTTCCAACAGCTCTTTGACAATTTTCTCTGTTCTTGTCTCTTCATGTTCTGGAATTCCAATCATCTATTTAAGTTGTTTCCTTTCATGGTGTCCCACATAACTCTTAGGTTTTCTTTTCTTTTTTATTTTTTCATTCTTTTTTCTTACTGTTGTTCTAGCATGCTGTAATGAATCTTGGTCTGATCATTACAAATTCCTTTATGTTTACCAAGAAATGTCCTAATTTTACTGTCATATCTGGGGGACAGCTTTGCTAGGTATATGATTCTTGGTTGGCAAGCTTTTTCTTTCAGAGTTTTATATATGTCAACCCATTGCTTTCTTGCCTTTTTGGTTTCTGCTGAGAAATCAGAGCTTCGTATTATTGGTTCTCCATGTCTGGTAGGCCACTTTTCATTTTTCCTGAGCTGCTCTTAGGATTATTTCCTTGACTTTGATTTTGGAAAGGTTGATTATGTCTTGGTGATTTTCTTTTGAGATTTATCCTGTTTGGTGTTTGTTCTTGTATGCTTATCTTCTCATCTTTCATGGTGTTAGGGAAGTTTTCTTCCAGCAACTTCAACAACTATATCCGTGCTTGTCTCTTCCTGTTCTGGAATTCCATTCACCTGTAAGTTGCTCCTCTTCATGGTGTTCCACATAACTCTTAAGCTTTCTTCTGATTTTTACATTCTTTTTTCTTGTTGTCATTCTAGCATACTAGTATTGAGAGATTTATCTTCAAGTTCACTAATATAGTCTTCCATTGTTTCATAATTTACTGCTTTGCCCTCTGAATGTATTGCCTATTTCTGAGATCTTAGTACTAATTTTCTGGATTTCTAATTTCAGGTTTTGTATTGTTTAAAACTTGCATTTATTTTGTCTATTTGTTCTTGTAGCATTTTCCTGAGGTCTTCTAAAGTTTTTTTCTGTGTTCTCTTGTTTTTTTTTTTTTGATCTTTCTATCGATCTTTTGAAGGTACTTAATTATCATTTTTTAAAATTCTTTATCAGTTAGTTGTATTACATTTTCTTCCTTAGACACATTTTCTGGCTCTTCCTCTTGCTTACTTGTTTGAGTCATTCTCTTTTGTTTCTTTGTGTGAGCTAAAACTGTCTGCTGTCTCTGGGGTACTGTGGGGTTTTCTTATTTGCAAAATCAAACAGTGCAGTTGTTGGACCTGGAGGGGAGAAATCTCTGGAAAGCTGATGCAATTCAAGGAACTCATGAGGTGGTTGTGAAAGGGATGTGACAGTAGAGATCTGTCCCTACATGGATTCCCCGTTGGTCTCTGTGTTATCTAGGTTCAAGGTACTCCATCCAGAAGTAGTTCATGGACCATGGGGGACGTGGGGAAGCATGACTGGTTAAAACCTGGTCTGGTGGTTCTGTGAATTTTGCAGGTCCAGAGTAACGTCCACCTGAATCCAGGCACCAAAGCGGCACACCAAATGGGTGCGGCCAGTCCCCACCTTATACTGGTATGACTCACAACCACGTGGCTCCAAACTTCCAGAGAGCAGGGTCTGCGTTGGGGGTGGCTGAGAGTGGGATCTGGCCTCACTCTGATTACCAGGGGAGTACAGAAAAAAAGAAGAAATCACACCTTTTCTGTCACCTGTGGGAATCTATTCTAGCAGGTCTCCCTCTGCGGCCAAAGGTGCTCACAAGATTGTCAAGCTGCGTCTTGCCAGCTGTTCACCAGTCAGTCTCTCTCACTTGTCATCCCTGCTAGGCCTCTCCTCCCAGAAAGCACTCCATTCACCTCTCTAACCTGTCTCCTGAAGTTAAGAGTGCCAAAATTTTCATCTGTGTCTGGTCTGTTTTCTCTCTTGTATCTTGGGTACAGTGTGTCTGCCTAGTCCACCATCTTGCCAGAAGTCTCCCATGACCTTCTTGCCTTCATGTTTTTTGCTGAGAAATCAGAGCTTAGTATTATTTGTTATCCTGTGTAGGTAAATTTTCGTTTTTCCGAAGCTAATCTCAGAATTCTTGTCTTTCACTGTAGAAAGTTTGACTGTGATATGTGAATTAAACAGATCAACAATCGGTGATTTTTCTTTTAGGGTCTATCCTGTTTGAGGTTCATTCAGCTTCTTAAATGGATATTTTCTCATCTTTCATGATGTTAGGGAAGTATTCTTCCAGCAACTCTTTGATAATTTTCTCAGTGCTTTTGATGATTTCTTTCTGTACTATGTAATTCAAATCATCCATAAATTATTTCTCTTGATGGTTTCTCACATAAACCTCAGGCTTTCTTGTGAGTTTTTTCACTTTTTTCCCCGCATGCTCTTCTAGTTTACTAGTATTGAGAGATTTACCTTCTAGCTCACTAATCCTGTCTTCCACTGACTCAAATCTACTCCTATGCCCTTTCAATATACTGCCTATTTCTAAAATCTTAATATTAATTTGGAGATCTATTTGCAGGTTTTGTACTGTTTCAAAATTTGCATTTATTATGTCTGTTTGTTCTTGTAGTGCTTTCCTAAATTCTTTTTTTTATCTGTGTTCTCCTTGCTTTCCTTAATCATTTTGTCAATCCACTGAAGATGCCCTATATATCATTATTTCTAATTCTTTCTCATTAGTTCCATTACCTTTTCTTCCTCAGAAACATTTTCTGGTCATTTGTTAGAGCCACTCTCGTTTCTTCACGTGAGCAAAAATTGTCTGTTGTCTGTAAGACACTGTGGTGTTGTCATATTTGTATTTAATTGTTGTTGGTATATTAGTGTGTCCTTAGGTTTTTATCACCTGCCTCCTGGTGGGTGTAATTAGAGAAGGGATTCCAAGATTGTCTTCTGTCTCGTCATTTCATCGCCTGTATGTTTGCTATAGACAGTGTGTGTAACATGTCTATTTAGTCTGCCATCTTGCCAGAAGTCTCCACATCCCATCTCCTATTATGGGTAGATACAGATGGCCCTATATAGCAAGCTTCTTGATAACTAACCCCAAAGCAACCAAATTCATTGCTTTCAAGCTAATTCTGATTCACTGCAACCCTACAGGACAGAGTAGAACTGTCCCATAGAGTTTCCAAGGCTGTAATCTTATGGAAGCTGATGGCCACATCTTTCTCCCACTCCTTAACATTAGCAGTCAAGCACATAACCAGTGTGCCAAGAGGGCTCCTTAGTTCCTTGGTTAAAATACACTGCCCTGGAGGCAATTCCAGGTTACCAACACCAAAAAAAAAACCACACCCACTGTTGTATAACTGATTCTGATTTTCAGCAACCCCATAGGACAGACAGGAATTGCTCCATAGGGTTTCCAAGGATGTAATCTTTAGGGACTGCAAACCATAAGGTCATTGGTTCAAACCCACCAGCTACTCCTTAGAAACCATATGTTGCTGTTGTTAAGTGCTACTTACAGGATCATTATGAGTCAGAACTGCATATGGCAATTAACAACAACAAATATTTGCAGTAGCAAACTATTTCATCATTCTCCCACACAGCTGTTAATGTGTTCAAACTACAAACCTTTTGGTTAGCAGCCAAGTGATTTACCCACTGAACCTACAGGGCTTCTTCAGACATGACAGGAAGGTCTATCCACCTGAATGTGCTCTCACAGTCTAGCCCCAAATCCCACCATGGTGGACTCCTAACAAGTGATTAACACTACAGATTTACAAAGACCCAGACATTCACAGCCTCCCTGCCTATTCAGTCATGCCATTACCTTGGGACAGGATCCCTCCAGTCACCCCTCTTGTTTGCTTTCTTGGCTCTGGAGAATTCGCTCACCCAAACGCTGCCAAATAAACCAAAGCTGAAATGGAGCCACAGTTTATCATCTCCTGTAGTGCTATCTCCTCCCAAATAACTGGAACTATGTTCTCCACTGGGAACAAGTTCTGGAGACTTCATGCATTGGTCAGAGATTTTTGGTACATCAGGTCCAGAGGTCTGTATTTGGTCCACATCGTCTTTTTTCCTAGGTCCTTCTGATAGTGGATTGCTTCTAGGAGGACTTATTTCTTCATCTGGATCAAATCTAAGGAATAACTTCTTTCCATGGACCTAGAAAAAATGAACATGGATTTAAATCTTATAGACCCAGACTACATGGAGTCTATCCAGACATTTATCTTAATGCAGATTTCTCCCTTCTTGCCTTTCCTATGATACTTTCCCAGAACACACCAAATGAGTACTATAGACCTGCCTTTCATCCAAGTGATGTAGCCAGTTCCTGCAGAATTTTCAATGTGATTGGAAAGGAGCAGAAAATTAGATTAGCAAGAAAAGAACTTATTCTAGATAATAAACCCATCCTAAAATGCCTGAGGTGAAACTGTTCCTATTTTTTAACGGATTAGCTAAGAACTAAATAAAGCTCCTGGTGTGGCACTATAGGATCAGCACTGGACTGTGCACCACAACGTTGGCAGCTCAAACCAAACAGCTGCTCCTATACAGGGTTGTTATGAGTTGGAATACCTGGATGATACTTTCACAACAACAAATACAAACTTCCATTTAACAACAAACATACTGCATTTTTCTTTGCTAGATATAATCAGTGGTCACACACACGAAATGTAAAAGTGACTAAAGACAATCATTGTGAAATTTGGTGTCCTTCAGTCACCTCCCTGTAAATAGTACTTGGTAGAAATAATGACACCAACAGAAATTACAATTTTAAACAATCAATAAGAATTAAATATTGACACAAACGTTGATCAATGAATCAAGCCATTGATTCACTGATGAAAAAGGAAAAGAATTCATCTCATCCCAATGAAAATGGCTTTAGTAAAATAAAAATGAAAACATGAAATACTTGTAAAATAATTTCATGGCAGCTTTGGTTCTATTTTTACATTGTTTAAAATATGGTATGTAATTTGTATGCGGCCAGTGGCTTGGATGAGTATTCTGCATGACCTAGAATTCACATGGTCTTTCAAATAATTGAAACCCCAATATTAGGCATCAATACTAGAAAACCCTGTAACTTTTCTGATACCTGAAAGTACATAACATCACACTTCTGCTTGCATATTCTCTAGTTTGCCAATAAGTATAAAAATGACCACGTACAGTAGTTTGTTATTTTAATTATTTGTTATTGAGAACTGAGTGATAGCTTACATGGGAGAACATTGGCTTTACACCATCATTTCATTGCAATGATTACAATCTCCTCTGTGCATCTTCATCAACAGTATTTGCTTCCATTCCCTCTATTTTTTTGGAGGGGTGGGGAGACGTACACAAGCACACTCAAAAGTATGTAATAATTTAAGCAACCAAAGGGCACATTCTGCAACCCTGCCGCCTGGCCACAAACACTCAATCCCTCTCTTTCCATGAGTCTAGAGTCCTCAGCTGGTCCCTCTCTCCATGTTCTCATCTCTGCCTCCATCTCTGGTGTCACTGCTTCTATGGATACGGTTCCGCATTCCACTTGTGCTCTTCTGTCTTGATGGTCCTAGGGTACCCTGTTTCTGGACTGTAAGATTAACTACTCCCCCCTTTT